GATTGTCCTGTTCTTTGTCCTCAGAAGCCAGCAGATCGTCAATCAGTGCTCTATAGACGATGTAGATCTTGTCCGTTTGAAGTGGAGGGTTATTTAGGCTTCCCGGAATCGAGTTTGGTACCCTGCCTTGCGGCTGGAAGCGGCCCGTGCATTGATCTTTCTGGGATGAAGGCGAAAAAGGCGCGGCTTTCTCCGCTCCGCGCCTCATTGTGTTGACCAACCGGCAATTATGGTGGCGCGGCCCGAAGTTTTTCCGCCAGCGTGGGGCTCCGCGGGTCCGGGAATGATACGTGTTCCGGACGGCCTTTTTCATGCACAGGGCAAAATGAGCGTCTCTATCTACCAAAGCGCAACAACCAGACGTGGGGACATTTCAAAAGCCCTGGGGGTGCAGCAGGGCGACCGCTGCTTTTTTTTCTTTGGCAGCAATAGTGGTGCACGCTCCTCCAGGTGTTCTTGGGGACCCTCGTCGCTTCAGAAGCAACAGGAATTCTCCTACCAAAGACTGCCAGCCCTTAATTGAAATGGAGCTGCCTGTTGTTCGTGCTTGGCAGTCTGCTCAATAGCATTCATGAGTGCACAATAAATGACATTTCTGTGTTAGTTCGTGATCATGATCATGATCGGGTCATGAGCAAATGACATGCCGTGTGACCGGGTGATGACGGAGTCAGGACGATGACCCGGTCATGATCGGGTCTTGATTTCGGGCATGACTCGGCTCCGCGACCGATCATGACCGGATCGTTATTGAGTCATGTGCGGGTCATGACTTAATAGTTTCTCACTTCGCAGGAATGTTCGGCTGGACTGCTGGATCATGGCCGAACGGTCATGGATCGGTCATGATCCAGCCAGGATAGTGTCATTCCCGAGTCGTCGTCGGTTCACGATGAGTGGACCGTGACCCAGATACATATGTAGGCGTGATCATGTCATCATCACATGGTGACCCAACCATGGCCCGATGGTCTGTCTAGATTTTGTGCATCACACATAGCCCCAATGCCGGCGCACCCACCTAGACGTTATCCAATCAGCACGAACCTACTGCACTCCCCTCCTTCCCCTCGCTGCCTCGGCAAGGTTTTGCTTAGGCATGACCCATAGCGAGGGGGGGGGTGTACTCAGAGTCGTGCATGCCGTAGTCGTTAGACCATTGACCTCGCATCCCTACCAAGCCGGGACGGAGCACGCCGGGTTCTCACCGGACCAGGCTCTCACATCACCAAGCGCGAAGCGCCGTGAGATATTCGGCGAGTCGCATGAAGGGTGCGCTGCATCCTGCTAAGGGTGTTCGGCATCTTGTGCTTACTTCCTTGCGTACGGATGACAGCTGCGTATGAATTAATTTATTTTCTGGTGCTTTCACTTCCACAGACAGTTGTAAGCAAGGTGTAACTGCCTCGAGGGTGCTTGACCATTTTAACTCAACGTGTTGCGATCTTCCCCCTTGCGCGGAGGGAGGGTTCTCGACCCCGCACAACATGATCTACCCGACCACCATATCGGTAACCGGCAAAAAAAAACAGACGTAAAAAAAACAAAAAGGTAACCTGGTCGCCGAGTTCACGAAGTGAATTTGCTTGTTTAACGACGTCGTTGCCGAGCGACGAAAACCCAATCCCGATGGCAAACACCGGGGG